TCAGGAATACCTGTGATTGCCTTTGTATCAAATTTAAGAAAAACCTGTAAAAGCGTATCTAAAATAGAAGTAGAAAACAAAATGGCCACAAGTCAGCATGACATGCATCAGTAACCCACAATTTACGTCAATACTAAATATTAATGAAATCAGCCTAGGCATACCTGAGAAATAGTTGATGACATGTCTAAATAAAGATTTTTGGTGCTTTTTGTCACACAAAAAGTCACCAGCCAGTAAAAAACAAATTGATTGTCTTTGTACTAACTTTAAACTAAATTTAATAGACCACACATCAGAAAAATAATGCTCAACAGATGAACAGAACTAAAAAAATAAGTCCCCATTTCGAAAAAAACAAACATGTCTAGAATATCTAGTTTCATTTAAGTTTTTATTGTGTTCAAAACCTAGTACACACAAGACATAAGTCATAATGCGTTAATTATATGTTACAAATCATTTGACTGAAATTTCATTCTCAAAGATTCGATTCTGTTCTGTGCAGGACCTCATTTGGAGCAAAGTTTACTCCAGCTGATTCAGCAATTATTTCCCAGCAATTCATTGTGCATAATATTTCTAAGTAACTTTATAAGGTAGTGGTTGTCACAACTGTTTGAATTTTGTTAAAGTAAACACAAAATTATTTGTACAGTACTATAGTGGGACTTGTATCGAATGCAAGTATTTGTGATGAACATCTTAGTTTTATGATAATTTTTTTAACTTTTGATTAAAATTAGTCTGTTGGTCAGAAATAAACTTTGAGAAAAAAAAAATCAGTTAAAAAGCAGTTATTGCACCTGAGAAAATTGACAGGCATATTCTGGCAATGCTATTTTTTTTTACATTTTTATAATCCAATTGGCCACAAGTTGGCCTCTTTTGGATAAACCAATTACTGTGATTTGATAAAATCAAAATACAATTGCATGTGGCAGGAATTATTAGATTTTTTTAAAACAAAATATTCAATAAATAAGTTCTAAAACTGTTTCTTCACTGTAGCAATGGCAACCAATCATATCACTGTCTTGGCAATGAAATAAATATCGGCCAGAGCAACTATTGTAGACATAATTAATCCGACCAGTATACACTGCAATAAAGAAAAAAATCAACAATTAAAATTTTAAATACAGGCGGACATGAGAGTATCTGTAATGAGAGCCTGTACTGGGGAATACATTAAAGGCTCATACTGGGGAATACATTAAAGGCTCATACTGGGGAATACATTAAAGGCTCATACAAGGGAATACATTAAAGGCTCATACAGGGGAATACATTAAAGGCCCATACTGGGGAATACATTAAGGGCTCGTATTGGGAAGTACATTAAAGGCTCATACTGGGGAATACATTAAAGGCCCATACTGGGAATACATTAAAGGCCCATACTGGGGAATACATTAAAGGCCTATACTGGGGAGTACATTAAAGACCAGAAATTCCAGATGAAGTGGTCCCGAGGAATAAAACGCTTTTCTTGACAACAATGCTAGAGTAGATACTTACAAATGCAGTTGGTTGATACGTGTAATATGCAGCCATATAACCGAATACAAATGCACAAATTACTGTAACAAATGAATTGAATACCGCCAAGACTTGTTTTTTAACTGATCTCACTGAGAGAGAAAAGAAATTAAGAAATATTCAGCATTATCACATGCACAAGCAAAGTCGTTCTATTTCATAATACAAAATCGTTCTATTTCATAATACAGAAATACTTGTACTGTTTGCCTTTAAAGCGAGGGAGTCGTCACCTGCGCATGCGTCAAATGGCCATAGCGTGTCATTGTTTACAAACAAGCGTCTGCCTATGAGCCTTTGCGTTTTTAGCCTGTGTTGTTATCATCGCTTGGGACTCAATTCCCAAGCGTGCACAGGTGACGACACTCCCGCTTTAAATGTGGCGACAAAAAATTATAAAACATTAAAATTTGGTTACAAACTTTTTTCAATCAAGAAACTATATACAATATCATCCAAGTGAGTTACTGCTGTACTAAAACACTGCGTCCAAGTTCAAGTGTTAGCGTAATAATGCACATCACCATGGACACACTACAAACCTATTGAGTCCATGGGAAATTTTACTGAATGTGGAGAGTGTTCAACTGAATGTTCAACACATATCACTATTTTTAGTGACAGGGAAACAAAATGAATGGTTGCAGAATGTAGAATAGAAACTCACTTACATTCTGTACCAAACTCAGCAAACGTGTTTTGTGATCCAATTATCTGTCAGAAAAAATCATTTTGCTATTAGAAATGCATATTGTATACATCTCTCCCTTCCTTACATCCTACTAGTACAGAGTGTTATATTGTGTGCAGCCTTTAAACTGGAATCAACAAAGAGTATGTTACATTCCATAATAATATTAATATCTTTATTACATCCTTAGAAATAACATTTTCTATCGGTTAATAGTAATATGTAAATAAAATGAATGTAACAGTATTACAAATCAAGAAAATGCTCATTTCTTAAAATGAAAGAATGGTGAATAAAATCACCTTCATGTAATATCTTACTTGTATTTTTGTCACTACTTTTTAGTAAATAAATGAATTTCTGTACATTAGTGATGGATTCTTTTGGGAATATAATCTTTTCGTTGTGTTTGGTATTTAGAACATACCAAAAAAAAGTGTATTTCATCTTCTACGTCATACAATGAACAACGTCTTCAAATCCTATTTTCAAATGGTGTCTTGAGTTGGGTGTGTCTTCCTTTTTCTATGGCTGAATGGTGATTACCTGTTTTGAATCTAGTTACAGAATTTCTTTGATTTGTATTTAACACATTTAAATAAAATTGTGATTAATTTAAAATTTAGTGTATGTTCTCAGATTAATGTGTATATACATACTTTTATAATGTTTTTCACACAGGTTTCCCATTGTGCTTTTGAAATTGTCATTTAATGCTACTTTTGTATAATTACATAGTGGCATATTTATTAATCGTGACCAAAATTTTATCATGTTTATCGACTATCAAGGGCAATTTTCCTATTTCACCCCGAGATGCATTATCTGCCATGTATTTGTTAATACCTAGCAATACTTTAATAAATTTAAGATTAATTTTCTCTGTATTGAGTTTTTCCCATTTATTATTACTTATATTTTCCATCCCCCAAATTTCAGATCGGTAAAGAAGAATTGGTTTAATACATGTACTGGTATTAAAAAGATGAATAGATGTTTGGCAATCTGTTTTATTTGGCAATGACTTTTTTATGTTTGCATAAATTTGAATGGGTAATGAGATATTATTAACATTGTAGTGGAGTGACTATATCGAGTGGAAAACTGCATAGATTTTACATTAAGCAGACGTTCACATACTCACCTGGTTGTCGACACCTTTTGTCATTTGTTTGTACTCTCGGTTTGCTTGCTGAGCTTTCAATCGTTCCAGTCTGGCAACAAGTTCTGGATTCTAAAAAGTCAGAAGGAGATGAAATAACTGGAAATAACAATTTATCAAATCCATATCAATGAAACAAAACCTTGAATGTCCTTTATTTTTAAAGGATTCTGTAATGAACAACATATTTTGTTTTGGTTTTTTTAATTACAGAAATGGTAACGGAACTTACCAGTACAAAAACGACCCTCAATTAATGACTTGTGCCAAGTTTTGAACCTAATCTAACAAACCATCTCAGGTTCATATTCAATACAATATAGATACTGACAAGAATTTATAAGACAAGGGTATGCAAGGGTGTGATTTACGCTGAAGATCTTTCATGAATTGAAGACGTCATGTGAATTGGATATTATTTTATACAAAATCACGAAAGAAACCTACATTCATATCTTGGGCTATATCATTCTTGCATATTTGTAAAGTATGGTTTCACATGTTCATTTCTGTTTACACAGCCTTCGTGAGTGTCCACTGAGTTCTGTTACAAATACGTTTGTTTGATTGATTGACGTTTACACAGAATTGTTATTGCATGCTACTGTACATAGATATCAAAGTTGCATAAACCTTTATTTTAAAAAATTTGTGAAAGTCACTGTGACTACCAACAGTCGCGCCTTGAGCACCAAAGCCAACATTTCACACATTTTGAATATTTGTTTTTAACTACTATGCCCTTCCGATAAAAATCTATTCCCAAACATCGTGGTGTATGCTCTATAGTTTAGTCCATACACCAAAAGTAAGCTGCAGAATGAATGACAAGTTTTAGAGTAATTTTTATTCAACATTTTGAACCAAATAGGGTAATTTATTTTTCATACATTGATTTGATTGTTACTTATTAACATCATTTTATTCAAACATTTAATTTTTAATTTAACATGCAATGTATGTTTATAAGTAATTTATAGTCATATGGTTGGATTTTTCCCAACCAACAAAAGTAAATAATTTCTTTCTCATTAACATTATATTGCAGAACTCGACAATGCTTAAATGTTATCAGAGCTGACAGTATTTATACACTGACTTACCCGTTTCGGCTTTGGAAGCGGAGGAAAATAAATATCACTCTCATCTAGAAGTTCATGTAAATATAGTGGATTGTAATCTGAAATAAATAACCATATATGGAACATTTTTAAATATTAGTATGAAGGGAAAATACAGAGGGTTAATGAAAAATTAAAAAAAAATAGTTCATGTCTGATGAAAAAATGATGATAGAAATCAATGTACACATAGCTGTTCAGAACATCATTACAGCAATACTAGGTATCATTGATGATAAACACCGCATAAATACCTGAACAAAAAATGAACTTTCTGAGCAAGCCTGGTACTAGTAACTAGATTAAAGTTCCACTGGTTACCCATCAGAGTAGACCATTTTCCGTTCACTGCGAGAATCACGCGTTATGCGTGAAATGGAACGTATAAACAGAACAAACAAAGGTCATAGCGTCGTAGTGGCGTCAAACATCGTGTGGGATTCGACAAACGCGAACATATTTTGGGGGCATTTCCATGCTTAATAATGTGCTGTCCACATTTGATGATAGACAATTTCGATTAAGTGAGGGTATTCAAAAGCAATATTCCTCTGTCAAAGATCGGCCAGTCGAGCTACGAAATAAAGAAATTCGAGTTCAAAATCAAATCGTTCGATTTTTGTGGCAGACGTGCGTTTTTCATGCATATCGCGAGATCTCACAGTTGAACGGTAAATCACTTGCTTCTAACCATTAAAATTTACAGCAATGTCTTGTGACAACTATCAGATATGCAGCACATAGGAAACTAACATCTATTGCTCAGAAAATTTGCATACTAGTTTTCAGATTAAAGCAGAGAAGTTGACTGCCGTAACGTGTCAATATTTATAAACAAGTGTGTACCCATAAGCCTTTATGTTTTGAGTGTGCGTTGTTATTGTTCCTTAGGACTCAATTCCCGCACATGCACAGGTGACGACCTCTCCGCTATAACCAATCAACATTAAGGTCACCTGGCAGCCAGGTTATAATGAGTAGAAATACATATACCTGGTATTTCAATAATAAGTATAACATTAGCAGTTGGCCATTATTCAAAACTCTTGGAGGAAAGATCTAGTTTTGATCAGATGCTGTTGTAAATTTTAAACTTAATTTAGAAATATTTTTAACAGATATTATAAATTTGCCCCAAAGGACACAAGACGAAATATGTATACTTTCTTCGCTGTAGATTTGTTTTTTTCACAATTTTCTTTGTGTAGATTACACAGTCACTGCCATGTGGGTGCTCTCTGGATTCTATCAGTGCTAGAAAACGTTATAATCGAGAACATTCCCCATATATACCATGATGTAATTTTTACTAATTCATTTTGAGATTTTTATTCTTACCTTTTGTCATGTGTTGATGACATTTTCTAACCGTCTCAAACGGGATACCCCGCGAATTCTCCTCGTCATATTTGCTATCAACGGGAGTGAACTTCTCAATCTCCGCCCTGAACTTGTCTGATAATTCTTCACTAGTTAAAATGGTTTCGATCGCTCGTTGTATTTTAGGAGTCAGAATCACTTGTACTACCATTTTGAAATGTCACCGGGTGTTAGTCATGTGATGGGGGAAGCCCTTCTTGGATCACGTGATTGCGACGTCACTGGGATACCCCGTTCGCAATTTGAACAACTCGTCACAATTTCCCACCGTTCGTTGTGTTTGTGTGAAAATAATAAATGTGAATTAATAACCCGGAAACAGGATTTAATTACTATAGACAACTGAGCTCAATTAGCGAGCACGAAAGTAATAACATGTTTGACAATTAAAAGATTGGTGTAAAACTACACCTATCTTTGTAGTTTGTAGTGCACACTGCAATTTTGAAAGGAACCATTGCAGAGAAGGAGGTACGGAATCGTTAAATTATTAAAAACAAGAAAGTTTGCGGTGATGAAATTGAGTCAACCATTAATGACACCTGGACATATTTAACGAGGATATTCAACTTCGTCACGTGAGAAATATCCAGAAAACTTAGTTTAATGGTACATTGTACTAATGTTCAGGTCAGGTGAAGTGAGTGATTGATTCCTCGCATCACAGGGGTATCACTATAACCAGTTAATAGTTTCAATAATATCAAACAATAATATAGGCTAAGTACATTTTAATAGGGAAGTCATAGTAAATAAATATCAAATTGGTTTTAGAAAGGGTTGTAGAACATCTAACCATGTAATGAAATAAACTATAAATAATTATAGCAAATATGAGAAAAAAGTAAGGTCACGAAAACAAATCTCAACCACAATACATGTGTTTTGTTGATATGACCAACAAACGCTTTAGACACTATATGGAGAGGCGGTACATACTGTATTATAAGTTGTACAACGGTGGGGTGACACATTTATTAAAGTGATTATCAGTTTGTATCAAAATAAAAAATCAAGTGTAAGACTGACAGATGGATATATAAGTTATTTTGACTACAGGAAATGTACACGACAAGAATGTCCATTATCGCCAACATTTTTCAATGTTTTTGTTAAAGGACGATAGTCATAGTGGCGCCGCGTCCTGTTCGATATAGGACCCATATTGACGTACACGTCGCGTGAAAAATACATTGTTTGCCTTTGCTTATTGGGCAAGAACACAAAACAATAAACATTCTGCTTTTATTAAGGCAGCATTACAAGAAAGTGAAAACGAATTCCACATACAAAGAAAAGAAACATTTATAACTTTTATCAACCAATAGCTACAAACTCCGGGAGGCTGGAGAAATGATAATAAAACATATGAGAAAAGTAGTTGACACAAAATTTTAAGATTTATATAGTCAAGAATAACAAAAACAATTAAATAAAGATGACAACTAAAACATCAGTAACAAACTAAAGACATCATCAAAAAGGTGAACAAAAATCTACAAGTTTAAGAATTATCTACGTACTACTATAAGAGTCACACAGCAATCACTTCAATTTCCAACCATCGGTTGCCCATAGAAACAGGACGTTACAACAATACACAGGTGAAAAGAGGCGCATTACATAATGAAATGCTTCAATACAGAAATTAAAGCATACAGTGAACATTTCTTTAAAAACAATCTGTTTTCCCAGATTTTGAAAAATTAAACCAAGATTGTAAGTTAGTTTATTTATTTATTGAGTGTTGTGGATACTCATATGATTATGCATATTAACACGATAACTACATTGTCTATACTGCTGTAATATTTCTAGTCAGTTCTGTGTCAAATAAATGAACCTGCAATGTATTGTTTATTTGTTTGCACTGGTAAATTTGCACAATATGTACGTAGCAATTGAAACTGATACTCGAGGTCGCGTTTCTGATTTTTCGGTCGAAAAGAAAGTTGACAACTATGTGTCAACATGTCCTCCAGAAAATATCAGAATGTTTCGACTTTCCGACAGTTCAATATCATACTATCGAGTCTCCAAATAACGAGACAGAAGGGGATTGAAAACTACATAGCGCCACCATTAGGTGACTAATATACACTTTATTTTGAATGCTTCTTCAAATGGTAGATCACAAACTATCTCGCGGCGTGCAGTAAATACCAACGTTGACTCCTTTACGAGAATTACCAAATTAAACTTTGCTAACCACTCTTTCGTTGTACTCGTTGATCTAAACACCGTCCGTTGAGGGACGGTGATCTAAATGACAGTTAGTATTGTCAATATGGCGGGGCACCGTCCCTCAAAGGGACGGTGGGCGGGGGCATATCTTACGCATGAATAAAAAACCGTTAATGATTCACGCTGTTTTAAAATTTTAAATATTTAATACACAAATTTCCGCAGACCTTAGACACAGTCCCTCTGTGATAGAGGTTCCCTGACCTTAGGTCTATGATATCTAATAATAGCCATGCTGGGTCGTTTTTAGAATTGAACTGCTCCTTCACGTCTATTTGTTATCAAGTCAGTTGGCAACCAGTCATATTATCCTCATTCAACTTTATCACTACTAGTAACAATAGATAAAGATATATAAAAATACTACCCAGTTACCATCAGTTTGTACCAACAATTTGTTTAGACATGCCATGCAGATATACATGTCCATTCTTCACAATAATGTTTTAAACCATGGTCAAAGTGTTTTTCATAGTAAAGAAAAATATTTTTCACCACTTCCATAAGGTTGGGAATAAAAAGCAAACATCAAAGTAAATCCATGCCCCTTTTGAGCAAATATGGTTGATAAATAAAGAACGGTTGCTGTTCCTGTTTTGGCTCCACCCTCAACAGCCTGTGAGCTACCGAGTTACCATACTTTAAAAAAGTAATACCGGTACTGCGATTTTGGCGAGTTTAAATTATTTTTTTCGCACTCCCATCACATGTTGCTACGTGTTACATCACTTTGTTTAAATGTGCCAATGATCAGTAGAAATTGCACCTCATATATACATATCATGGTAAACTACATGCTGCATTTAACCACAAATCACATACTAGTACTTAGCTCAATCTGGAAATCGTTGATTCAAATTCAGGGAATCTTTGCGGTTACCCCAGTATGTGTATGTTTTTACCGCTGTTATCTCAAGAACCAATCATCGCAGTTCAATGACAATTAGTACATATATGTTCTGGGACAAATTGAAGACTTGATTAGCTGTGGGTGAAAATCCATGCATTAATATGCATATTCTAATATTAATTACCTAATTTGCACAATAATTAGCACATTTTTAGCTTTTCCATTTATATCTCAAGAACAAATCATCAAATTATAATGAAACTGTGGAAATAATTTCTCTATCACAATGTCAAAACCTGAATAGTTTTGGGTTAAAATCTGTGCATATTACTAATTAGTGACCACATTTATATGCAGAATTCTAATATCTATAGAGGTATTGCAGATAGGCACGAGATGAGTCATGATTACTATATCAGATGACCAAATATGGTCATGGTATCATATTAATATGCATAACATCCAATACATCAGCACACAGATTTCTTTCTGAGCTTGCTTTAATTGAATATTAAGGGGAAAGCTGTACTCTCCACTTTCCTCATAAATGCTTAACAAAAAAGGGTAGACTTTTAGAACAGAGACAAGCCAAAAAGTAATATTACTGTAAATTACAATTAGATTAGTAGAGGAATTTCATGAGGGATGACAGCCTACAACAACATCAATAGTATGAATATCTTTCTAAGCAGTTTTTGGTGTAACCAAACCAAACACTGATACCATAATTTATCTATTAGCAGCGCATATGATTAGGTAAATGACTAAGTGTGCAAAATAAGTCATATTTTAGTGATTATACAATAAATGTTTTTTTGTTTCAAGCACATAAGAGATACACAAATGCCTCTGATCCAGACTTTTGTTTAGTCCTGACTGGACACAGTCCGGAGACTTATGGATTGGTTTCGTCCATCCATTCATTGCATTATCTCAAAGGTTCATAAACCAATTTTCTTCAAACTTTGTACATGGTTGATGGTACACATATGCTATCGAATTTTTTTTTCTGTTCAGATACAAAATAGCTGACTGACAGCCATATTTGAACCAAAAATAGGCCAAAAACCTATGTTTTATATGTGTAGACCATCATCTCCAAATTGTGCTTGTCAATGCTGTTCAAATTTAGACTGGATAACAGCTGGTAACACTCATCTTTTTTTGCACAATTCTGTTTATATTTCAAAGTCACACTGTCCAATTATGTCCTTGGTTCACAGATGATTGTGTTCTGGCATATTTGAATCACAATACAATCCAGGATGGTCGCCTGGCAGCCATAGACTATATCGCTATTCCAACTCATTGTGTTTTGTGGAATAGTTGGGACTGAATCAAACCACTTCGCCAATCACGAAGCAAGTCTGCTCCCACAATCTGGATCCAACTATCCCACAATCTGGATCCAACTATCCCACAATGCACTATAATTTAGAATTGTGATACATGTTGTACATTTTGCCAGCATAGACACGCACACACACACACACACACACACACACACACACACACTCGCGCATGTTATTGTCTGGAATTCCAAGTCATTAGTTCAATGTAAGATTGGTACGTGCACAAATTGTAGTAATACACAAAAGGAGGCTGTGACATTCTCAATGGTTTGTTCAGTTTATTTTACAACATACTCGTTTGAAGAGACCTGCATTCACTCAAAAAAAAAAAAAAAGCTTATTACAATTTATATATTTTATTTCAATTGCCACAGACGAGTACGGAAGGAATGTATAAAATACAATATGCATAGATGAGAGCAAGGTAAACTGGATGTAATGCTCTGCATCTAGTTTGAAATATAGTCAGTCCACTCTCACTCTGATTGTTTTGCAGTGCTTTAAGATTGAAGATAACCTCTGCAAAAAATAAGATAAAAAGTACAGGGTTAGTCTACATGATTGAGAGTTGCTTATTTACTACACCATTAGTTTGTTTATGATTCAAAACCACATGTATGTGCATGAAAAAATGATATGATGCAAAACTATGTGCATCAATAATGACTAGTAAAGATGTCTATTAATGAGGTGCTGACACAGGTATCAAAACGTGGTGATCAACCCGGGTTAATTGCAACCAAATGTTGGGGAACATGTGTGAATAGATTAACCCAATCTTGCCTGGCTTAGTTTAACTCTAGGGCTAGTCTCCACCCACAGTACCCTAAGAACGAGTTTTTTAAATTGAGGCAGTGGCCCCAAAACCGTATAGAGCTGAGCTTCTCAAAACTATTTGCAGGCCTCAATAAAGATGCCTGTGAGATATACGATCAAAAGTTGGTTTTTGTCGTTAATAATCTATTTACTAGCATTGTCAACATTTGTAGTTCAAACTAAATAGTCCTGACCAAAAATTGAATAAAATGGCCACTAGTCGGCTATTATGGATCAAACTTCCAAATAAAATGACGTTCATCAGTCACTCACTAAGTGTGACCATAACAAATTTGAATGACATCAACCAAAGACATGCCTGACAAACATTTAATGATATGTTGAACTTTCATTTTTTGTGTACCAATTGCTCAAACATTTCCGAGAAATTATGTTAGATGGGTGACTTTTGTCACCTGGTGGTGAAAAGGTCGAGATAGTGGATCGACTTACGGTAATTTCATCCTCATGAAGACTCTGCACATGAAGAAGGATAAGATGACGCATACAAATCCCATGAAGAGAAGTAAAAATCTGTTCAGTTTTGGCATATTTGGTTGGTTTGACTTGTCCAGTATAACGAAACCAAGGCCTCCAGCAGTGAAAAGGAAACTTGATGCCAATCCTTCCATGATGTATTGTCCGTTAACTCTGTATGGCATGAAAGCCACCTGTAATGAAGTAGAACAAGGTTACAAGGTTTCCTGTCAAGGTAATCAACAAGGATCAATAGAGAAAAATGTAACGGTTCTGCAAATAGGGTATTATCAGAATTACTTAACCATGAAAAAAGCTGCCTTGCAATGAGATAAATATGTAAATATCACGTGTATTTATGATTAAAAAAGAAAAAATCTCTTCAACTTTTGGTTTATACACTTCTAATAGAGAAAATATGACATTCTTTTATGAAAAAATATCATGGGTCATCAAGTAAATTTTGATCAGAAAAAAATGGAGTGATCAAAAAGTTGTTTTGACAGTTGTACTAATATACTAACTTTTACCAGATACAATATTCTTCCAGCTGTCAACCATTTTTTGGAAAAAAAAAAAATTGATTTGATACTCTGATCCAATTACTGCATGTACGCGAATGCATGCACTTTTTACTTGGATCTATTCAAATGATAAGTAGCCATTGTTGGAAGTACTTAGAGAAACTAGGAGACATTCCAGAGCATAGACCCTTTACATGTAACATACCACTACCAGGACACCACCACAAGATATTTTACATGTCATTTCAATGGTTCCTGCAAGACTGCTAATATCCAGACAACAATGTATAAAATGGGTCTATATGCCATATACATTTCACATCATAGATCTCTAAAGCATTCTCTATAGAAATACTTCAGAGAGACTGCAGTACATATTGTAGTTTACATGTACTCTGCTTGAATAAGACATCTATATTCACAGTTATTAAGTGCATAAGAAAATCATGGTATATGAATATATTATAGTTTATATATCTGAGCACAAATTAAATATTTATGAAAGTAAGTTATTGTTTGAAATTGTGATAATGTGTGATTTTGATGCATTTTTGGCTTTAAAATCACTGCTATTTAGCCATCTTGAATCAAATCATGAAACAAATACATGTCCGATGTAATGCCTGATGTTTATGTGAAGTTTTAACTTAATCAGTTCAAGCAAGTGTGAGATACTGCAAAGTATGGATAGTTGCACGCACGGAGGTCAATCCATAAATCCCAGTACAGGGACTAAACACAAGTTTTAAAGTTGATGCCTACTGTCAGGTAATTTTTTGTAGTTCTTTCACATCGAGGCTCCTTGATGACATCATCAGGGCATATTACTGTGCAGGGTTTACACAGTAGTGGGAAAGTGACATGATTTTGGAGAATGCTTCTGGTTCTAATTTCTTGTGAACTTAAAAATTTAAATTAAACTTTCACAAAAATTATTTTAACAAATTTTGGAAAACATATATTAGGCCACACTGATTTAATTTTATGGCTGACATCCTCTGGAGACCACAAATCTAATGCGAGAGGGCGAAAAAAAAAATCCTGCTAAAACCACAGGACTACGGAGCTGCTATTACGAATTGAACCACAGAACACAATGTATCAAAAAACAACAAGAAGTCTTTATTTGTAGGAGGCACATGTTGATATACACATCTCGTACTGTATTACTGTCACAGGTATAACCATTTCAGACAAGCTCTAGTACATGTAGTCATGATGAAGTACCTTCAGTCAAAACACTGCATTCAAGGTACAACATGAACATCATTTTCAGTACTAGTCAAGGCGGAATGTACATACACTACTTTATGACAATAACTAACAAAACATTGCAATGATACAGAAATGTCCTTGCTTGCTCTTCTCTACACAGTAGGGGTTAGCTTTAACCAATCTCTCGTATAGCTGTGTAAACGTCACATCTCCCTGGCCGACGTCAATTGCGTACCAGTCTACAACAATCCCTCAGTTTTTCCTTCGAACTTTTATGCTCACGTATTCCCGGCAACGCAATACGCATGTGCAGAAGATCATTTACGACAAAATTGGCACGTTTTTAGATAGTCGAAAAAGAGTTTTACGACAAGCCAGCGCTTTGCGACAATATGAGTCGGCAAGTTCCAGACAGAAAACCGATCTGTGGAGACTCGTCGTTGGAGATTTTTTTTTTTTTTTTGAGAACAGGCGAAAACTAATGCGCGTGGATGTCATCCATAAAATTAAGTCGGTGGGGCCTTATGCTGTACTTTAAAAATAGATGTGTTCAAAGGAATTCAGACCTAGTTCTTGTATATTAATTTCATGACCTGTCATTGTGGCTTTCAATTCTATTTTTTTTTAAATATCTCTCTAATATACTATATATATTATTTATATCATAACAAGTAGAAAAGAAATTGAGCATGTTGCAAAATTTAATGTTTGAGTCATGTTGCACTGTACAAAAGTTTCTGGTCAGAAGCACTTGGTGATCGCAGTACTATGACTTGGGTAATGATTTCCAAAATGTGAATGTAAATCAATTTACCCATGACAAAAAAAGCTAATAAAGGTGTGTGGCAGTAATATTAATAATTGGATTTGCTCGCAGGCAATGCTTAGATTGTAACTTTTCCTCGCAAGAAAATTTGCAAGATTTGTAGACCTTTTTATAAGTTTTCATTGGTCAATCAGTTGACCCCGTGTCAAGTTTGGTATGCAAGATGAAGCTTGTTAGCCAAAAACTGGATTTCTAATTGAATTCAACATATGCTTAAGTAATTATTTGGGGTGAACAAGACTGCTTGTTAATATAATCTATTAAAATGCAGTACAGGATTTCACTATTCAGGCATGCTGCATATTTTTTCATTCATGGTAAAGCGAAAATGGACAGCAATTCGCTAGAGATGATACCAGATATTTTAGTAACTAGTTTTAAATTTTACCCACTAACGCTGCTTAATTAATAAGCAATGGCTGTATACTGAATCATTACAATATTATTTATTATACTGTGTTTGCTCTATTAGTAGCACTTGTGTAAATTATAGAGATTTATCTATGGTCAAAATAAGTATTCGGAGCATAGCTTCCTCCCTTAGTTTGACATTTGTAAGTGAGAAGATCAGAAATATTCAACTGTGGCAGGAAGGGGACGTGCTTTACAAATCTCAATCTTTTGAAGTTTACTTTGTTATTTAATTTTAATCACAAATTGCAGGTCAAACATACGAATGTGTCGGTTTGCAGTTTAGAGAACAGAGAGGAGGTACCAATGACAAGTTACCTTGCATTTTCGCAGTACCGTAGTTCACAAATGTAGACAATGTTTATGTTTTGAACTGTGTATAGCTCATAGTGTGTGATATAGCATGAAGCTAAAAAGATGGATGTAGTAATGAGTATCAAGCGAACAGAAGAACAGTGAAATGCACAAAATGAAGTGAAGTTCTGACAACAGTGCTGCTTTAAGAAAGCATAGTAATTCCATGGTAATTGCAACACATATTGAACAGCATTGCAATCAAAACTGGCTTTTAATTATG